GGGGGGGGAATCATGTTCTAATTATGTGTTTCGTTTGATCATTTTTCTATGTCGATAACTAAAAACCAAAGCAAGGTAAAATTTTTCTTTACATAGACAGTCTTTGCACTTTTTTGTGGTATTGTACGGATGTTGTTTTGTTTGTTTGTTTTTTTAAATATATTTTTTAGGGAAGGGTTTTTTGTGCTTTGTTTTGTTTTGCTTTGTTTGGATTTTTTCAAATATTATTTTTGTACTGTAACTGTATATTTAATTCCATCGGGCAAACCGTCGGGGTTTTGTTTTTTCATTCTAATTTTCTGCTTTTAATTTTTAATTTTTTTCTCGAATTAAAAAAAATAATTTTTTTTTGGGTGTTTGGCTCTAACAGGATGTTTTTCTCTTACCTTTTTAAAATTTTATACTGTTGGAGGTTTTTTTACACCCCCATCCACACAATTTGGATAATTTAGGAGTGAATGCCAGCCTCCTAATTAATTATCTAAATGTGAGGCATTGTGGTGGAATCAGGCGCTCGTCAAAATACTGAAATAGAAAACACTGTCATTTTTCCTCCTGTTTGGAAATTTTTATTGAAATTTTAGTTTTTTGGCTCAACACCTTTATGTCCAGTTAAAAAGATATTTCAGTGTTGGAAATCACTGAAAATGTCGATTAAAGGCACTAAAAAATGCAAATTTTCAGTTTCTAACAACTCTCAAGATATAGAAGTAACTGAACTTTGGCGGCCATTTGCTCGCTAATTTTACCTCTGAAACCAGTCAACCCCCACCCCCTTCAAGTGCAAATATCTCAACCTCTATTCAAGTTAGATGGATATTTTTTTCACCAAATATAAGACAAATATATACGCTTTAAGATGTTACAATAACTCCATATGCCCAAAAATTGACGAGCGCCTGATTCCACCACGTCACGTCACAAATCGTTTCGATGGGGGCGTAAACAAAACCTACATTAAAAAGAAATAAACAAAAACTTTCACAACACTAACAAATGTTCATTCAAAAACTATCCAAATCAAAGTTTTAAATATTATGTTTTGAAATGTATTATGATGATTACTATATAATTTCGACAATCTCCCACTGCTATTTTGGGAGAAGCTTATAACTAAATATTATGGAAGTTCTGGTGTATTAGCAATTTTATATGGGGTATTCTGTGGATCTACTGGTTTTTGTTGTTGTTGTTGTTGTTGTTTTTCAAATATAAGCTTATATATCACTGTTTGCATAACCCTTCTTGAAAATGTTTTTTTTTTTCCAAATCTAATCTAGAAAATGTAGTAGCCTCAGTCTGACATGAGATGATGAAATGTCCCGTCCCCCAACCCCCCACCCCAAACTCTGAGAAGAAAAATTACGAAAGATGACAAAACTAAAAACTGAATATAAAGCCCTTAACAAGGAAAAAAAGTGTAATGTGTGTGGGGG